TTTACTCTCAGAATAAAGGATATTTGAGGTTTTACTAAATTGATATTATCACTTTTTGTCTTACCTGTTTCAGAAGTTTGACATCTTGGCTTTTGTGTCACTGCACGCCACATGTTCAAGGTAGACAAAGGGGCTTCTAAGGAAAAAAATATTTGTCTTTAAATCCTTACATGTCCTGTGTGATCTAGAATATATGATGGAGACTTCTTAAAATGACAAAAAATAGTCTGTTACATCTTTTAATAGATTTAGTAGCCGAGTTGCATTTCTGTCTCTAAAAGGAGTGAATGTGGGAAAGGGTGAATGAAATGGAGCAGTAGTAAATGTCCTGTTGCAATAGAACAAACAGTAACTAACATTTCTGAGATTTTTTTTTTTTCTGCTTTACATGCAAAAATTCTGCTTTATGAAGCTGTAGTATTGTATAAAATAGTTGGAAGGGGTCAGATCAATTGACTACTTTGCAGTAAATTATTCTGTAGGAATGATTGCTACAAGAGACCTGTGAGCTTGTGACCTCTGTTTTTCCCTAAATAACTGTGTACAGAATAGCTTTATTGAAACTCAGGTATAAAGGCTTTTTTTATGGATTAATTTACTGTGCAATTATTTCAGTCTTGATAATTTATCATCCCAATGTTCATTTCAGAATAATCACATTGATATTTTTCATATTTGAAGAAATTTTGTGTAGAAGACTTGCTCCTAAGTGCTATGGATGAAGTGTAAAGTTGTTCTCTATTTCTTAAGTGCCAAAATTCTGTTCTCTTCAGCTTCATAAATGCTAAAAATGAAGATACTTCAAACTTACTAGAAGCTGGACCCAGTGTGGTAGAACTAGATGAGAGTAAGACCCATTGGCTAAAGTTTTATCAGTGGTGGACAGTTACTTTTTCTTGTCTGTTTAAAAAAAAACAAAACAAAAAAACCCACAAAGTAACTCATTCACATTTCTTGTTCTCCATTTTAGAATATGGCATAAAACCTGTGAGTCTTCAGTCCTAATGAGGTTAGGGACTCCAAGAAAATATACTACTGACTCAAAAGAAAGCTCCTTGGAACTTCACTTCTTGCCATTACTTCTTTCAAAATTGTCTTCAACTTCTTAGCTAATAAGAAGACATTTTGTGTTTTTGGAATTGTATTTGCTTGGGGTTTTTTTTGGCATTATTTTTTTTTGCATTATTGCAATAAGCCTTGGGAGAGTGGTGTTCATTATTACCCCAAGGAACTTGCCTGAATGTACAAGAGTTGGGTGTGTTGCAAGCCTTTTTCAAGAGGGATTAGTAATTTTGAAGTTATTGCTGGATGTTTGACAATGCCCTAAAAAATATCTTTAAACAAGCTCTAATAATAGACAAATCTACTTGTTTTTAAAACTTGAATCACCTTTAGTTTAGAGGTTTCAAATGCTCAGCATCTTTTAAGGTTTACCATGAAATAAGCATGGAGAGAAATCTTTCTGCCTGAACATTTAAGGCTTAAAAGATGAGAAATACTCTGTGCTTGGAAATGATTGCAGACAAATCCTGGTAACAGCGTTGAGGGTGAAGTTCTCAGGATGATAGAAAAACTTCTGCATTTCAGCTCTGCCTTTGCAGCTCTGAATATGAAATTTAATAAAAATTCCAGTAGTGCTTTAATCTTTCCTTCATCAACCACTTTCCTTTCTTCACATTGCTTTTAGAAGGAAAGCTTGAAAAATCTTATATTTGAAATATCTATGAGAGCTTTGTGATAGTAAAGAAGGAGAAAAGTTTTAAATAAGCAATGATAGGCAATGATAGGCCTGGAATATGGATGGATTTTTTACTTGCTAGTTTCCAGTTGGTCTAAAATGTTTGCATCTGAGCTACACTTGGGACTGCCAGTTGCAAAATATTCTTCTACCTACCCTGTAAAAAAAATGAGACAGGGAGAGATTTCCTTTTTTTTTTTTCATTTTATATCTGATTGGAAAGATGATAAAGTAGGTCTTAACTAAACAGATGGAACAACTACTGTAAGAATTGAAGATATAGTTGGGAAATAATGCAGAAACCATGACTGAGTCTGAAAAGACTTAGATCTCAGTTTGCAAAGGATATGCATATGTTATTTCCCTCAACTACTGTAAAATACAATTAGACATAATGGTCAGGTGAAAATGAAATAATTAAAAATATCAATGTTGTGGTTTTAGAACTAATACATCCGTAAATTCTGCAGGTGTTTGAATGAAGAACCCCATAATGCTTCTAAAATTTATAGCTGATGTCCTTAGAGATGTTCAGAGTCTT